GTGGCACGGTGAGCGCAGGATAAAGAAGAGTTCCGAGGGGAGAGAGTAAGTCCCCCTGGTGTCAGGGCTGGGTCTGGAACGGACGAGGCCGCGGCAGAGTGGGTTTTACAGTCCAATTCCGTTTCCCTCTGCCCATCAGGGCTCTGTGGCATTTGATTTCGTGAGGCTCACATCGCCTCCAATACACGCAGGACACAGATCGATAACCGTGTCCCCCTTGGTTAAAGCTGTGGGAACATTCAGAGACAGGGTGGGGGGGAAGCCCATGCAGTAGCCTGGACCACAATGGGCAGATTCTATTTTTGAAAAAGTCTAAGTTTCAAGCTATTGTGAAGTGTTCTTTTGTTTCTTTTTCCTTTTTTATTTTTTTGAATGGAGAAGAAGAGCTGGCCTATTGCCATTTCTGCTTTTAAGAGTAAGTAACCGTCTGAGGGTCTGGGCTATAAAATACTTAATGGCAATGAAGACTACAGCTCGGTTCCACAGATAGATGATGTTATTAGCAGCTTGGAAAGCGACCAATTGCTGAAACAAAATGGGAGGCGCAATGAAAAATAAGGAAGCAAAACTTAAATGGTGGCCCTGTTTTTCAAGGTAATATTTATACAATACACTCTTCAATGAAGACAGAGTACATTAAAATGACAGGGCATGAGCCAAGATTGCCAGAAAGTATCTAAAACTAATGAGCATTTCCCTTAAAAGAAGGTAAATCTCATTAATCAAGACAAAACGCACAAAATGAAAATGTAATGTTTGGAAACTAAAGAATGGCTTGCTAGGACAATTACATACTATTAATTGGATTTTTAAAATGACACTAATAATAAAAAGCACAATTTCATCAATATTTTAGCTACTAATGAAATATGGGTGTGTATTGTAGATTTCGGAAATGAGGATATGAAAAGCTGATATTAATGTAATTTTAAATATGGTTCTCATGAAGCTATATCACACTCATAAAATTTAAATATTTTATTCTAATAGTTGAGGCAAACTCAATCTTTTCATTGATTAGCCCAATTATTATGGAGCAGTATTGACATATTGTGGCAGTTACAAGTTTTCAATTATTTTCACCTTTTAAACTTAAACTTACTTAGTTGTAGAGCCCAATATCAGGGAGAAAAAAATGTACTTAAATTAGGATACTAAATTCGGCAAAATTGTATGCACATTTTATTTTTAATAACATTTAGATGATTCTGTCCTTCACTATGTGCACTCTTGACATTTATGTTGAATATAGACAATTACTAACTCCTAAGTGACATTTTATAAAAAGAAATCCCCGCCATCCTCCTTGAAAGGATAGCTGAGCAGAGAGCCCTACGTTTTCCTTGTTCCTGTCCCCTGACATGGAATGACCCCCAGGCTGTCCACACACACTCACCAGTGGGCCCAGAGCACACCCTCTAGCCGTGCAGGCCTGGACTCTGAAAGAATGTAAGCTCCACGGAGCAAATCCGTAAGCATGGCAGCTGAGCTCTGAGGAATTGTGAATGAGCAGTCCATCCAGATATAGCCCGTAGCGTGTGATCACACCTGGAAAGATAATTGCAATGAGTAGGATGAGTAGGCAACAGCAAAGAATGACTTCGAAAGAGCAAGCACTTCGTTTTTAAAAAGTATTTTTAAATTGACTTTATAGAGAGGAAGGGAGAGGGAGAGAGAGAAACATTGATGAGAGACAAACATTGATTGGCCGCCTCCTGCACGCCTCTCCTGGGGATGGAGCCCACAACCTGGGCATGTGCTCTGACCAGGAATCCTATCGGGATCTCCTGGTTCATGGACTGAGCCACACTGGCCGGGCAACAGGCACTTGATGTGACTCCTAATTTTGTGGAATCACCGCATCTGGTATTTCCGAGCCTGAACTCTGTCTTTTCCCAAAGGGTAAAAGGGTCTTTAAACCCTTAAATATCAAATTGCTAAGCCCACAGTCCCCCTGTTTGCTCTGCATCTACTTCCTTTTCCCTTTTGTTCCTCTGACACATCAGTAACCAGCTCCTCGTATTAAAGAAAGTCTGTCTTAAAGGCCTCGCACATTTTCTCTTTGGTCAATTAGACCTTGATCAATACTTCCTTAAAGGATGAACACTTTTTAAAGTTTCCATGCGTTAATACTTTAATAAAGCTACTTATGACTCATTTTCCTTTTTTGAAGGTAACTTTGCACAACTGATGTTTCTGAAAGCAGATCTATTTCCCTCATTTCCAGATTTTGGAAAGAGAGTCTTCGTTTTACCATCACGTGTCACAATGGTCCCACAAGAGCATGGCTACTCCCATTGGCTCTCCTTTATTCTAGGGGGGCCATCCGGGGTACCACTGAGCATGCTCCCCTGAAAGCATTTGATTTAATGTCACTTCATATGAGACGCACAAAAGCACACATGAATTAAAACTAAGAAATGACAAATACCTAAGAGAAAACCAAACACTTCGTTGAAAATTTAAGAGAAAAAAAGATGGATCAAATCACAATTATAAAAAGGACAAGAACTTATGATGTGCCAGGCACCCTACTAAGCGATCACTGAATACACACACACACACACACACACACACACACACACACACACACACACACACACCTACGTACAAATAATGTGTTGCAGAAGCTCGTAAAGAACTTGTAAGACACCTAAAATGCGATCTACTTGACCTACTTCTCAACATTGAAACAGAAAGTACCCAAATCAATATCTCCCTTTTCGTACATAATTGGGGGACAGAGAATTTCTTTTATGCTGGGATTATGTGCATAATATCTCACTTCCCTCACATATTGAGAAATGAGATGTTTTACAGAAGTTCATTTTCATTATAACTAAATCTCAGCCCTTAAGTACAAACTTTCAAAATCTGGACCATTTGGAAGGAAATCTTTCTAGCAAGTGCTACACATCTGTCTTCTCACTCAGACAGTAATGAATGTAATTGGATCACTTCTGTGATGAGTCCAACCGCGCACATGGACGTCAAAGACTGAAGTCTCTAATTCAGTCATGCCCTCTGGGGCGCACGAGACACAGGACCCTCACCCAGCTCTTACCCTTAACATCCCTCAGTGGCTCTGCTTTGCCACTCCTTGTGTCTACTTTCTGAGTTCTTTTCCATCCTCCCTCAGTGACAGTCTTTCGAAAGTCACTTCCTGGATTTGTCTCCCTGACTCACTCTGGCAAGTCAACCCCTAGCAAGCTCTGCGGAGAAAGCAGATACCCGTGACATCTGGAACTCTGGGTGAAGAAATAGCAGACGGTGACTGAGACAGGGCTTAGTGTAAGATGAGCACATGACAATGAGCTAAGTATCAAGTTAAGTGAGATTTGTGACAGTTAATTCAACTGCTAAGTGTGGGTTGTTTTTTTTTTTAGCACCTAGGATGCGCTTGCATTGAGAGGGAGATGACACCGGAGTCCCATTTCAGTGCAGGTAAGATCGGACACCACACACACACATTCTGTAGATAACA